CACCCGGCTGGAGCTGAGAGCAGCCTGGGATCCTGCCGGAGTGGGGCAGGAGCTGGGAGGGGGGCAGGCTGGCTTAACCCGGGAAGGACGGGGTGGGAGGGGGGAATGGGGAGGATCTGCCTGTGGTGCCATGGCTCTGTCTGCCTAGACCCTGCACTTGCACCCTGACCCCCTGGAGGGGATTTCCCCCTTGAGCATCAACAGTTCCTAGCCAGTGGGAGGAGCACATTGGAGGGGCGGGGGGGCTCCCTGAGCACGTGAGAACTAGGCCTGAGCCAGCCATGGCCAGAGCTCCATGAATTATTGACTCCACAGATGATCAGTGGCTGGCTGGCCCCCCCCCTCCGCCCCCGGGCAGAGAACTAGGCCTGAGCCAGCCATGGCCAGAGCTCCATGAATTATTGACTCCACAGATGATCAGTGGCTGTCTGCCCCCAGCTCTCCGGGACTGGGCAGAGCAACATCAGCCCTGGGGTGGGTTTGGGGGGCACAGGAGCAGTGGGGAGAGATTCTCCTGCAGGTGGAGCTAAGGCCTCTGGAGTGTGCAGCATCGTTGCTAGCTTGCATGGGATCAGCCCCTGAATTCTCTTCCGCTTCTGAAAGAGGTTGGCCTCTCCAGGCCAGGCCAGAAGGGGCTGTTCTCCATGTCCAGCCCACGGGGCAGCCTCTCTCTCCCAGGGCATGCCTGTACCCAAGGGGTTAATACGCAGCAGTGCCAAGCCACTTCCTTGGGAGTCTCCACTGGTCCAGGGATGCCAATAGCTGCTGCAACATTTAATAGGGAGGCAGAGGCCATGTGGTCAATGCCCAGCAAAACGGCCCTGTTCTAGCAGAAGTAGCTGCAGGGGGCTCCCCACGATGCCAGCCCCTGCATCCCAGCAGGAGGTGCTGTAGCAAGGACCTCAGAGCTGTTTTCTACCAGCCTTGGGGCAGGAGTTTGACTGCCCGGCATAGAGCACGCTACGGGGAACTGGTCAGTCTCTCTCCGTGGCAGACGTGCGTGGTGTCCCCCTCCAGAGCATCGCTATGGCTGAGAAGGGCATGGACCCGACCTGCGTCTCCATCGCCCTGGAGGACTCCGTGTGCAACGCCAGCTCCCAGGACGCGCCTCTCCTGACCACCCACCTGAAGAAGGTGGAGAACCACATCACGGAGGCGCAGAGGTTCTCGCACCTGCCCAAGCGCTCGGCCGTGGACATCGAGTTCATTGACCTGTCCTACTCCGTCCGGGAGGGCTCGTGGTGGAGAAAGAGAGGTAGGAGGTGGCTGCCCTGGAGAGGGCACCATGGTTCTGTGTGTGTGTTTGTGGGGAGCTGTGTTCCTGCAGCCAGGGAATGGAGCGAGCTAGCCAGGAGGGGAGCAATTGGAAAAGAAAGCACGTGAGTCTTGCAGGCGTTGCAGAGGAGAAGGCTTTGCATCTCACCCTGCTTTAGTTTGATCTGTTGACTGAAGGGTTAACGGTGGTGGCAGGTATCGACTAGCATAGAGGCCCATGTGAGTTGCTTGTATTCCTATTGGGTAGATCATGTGGGGAAGAGAAAAAGACACCCCCATCTTTTGTTGCAATTCCTGTTCTATGCTGCATCTGTGGCGGAGCCTGGAGACAGCCTGGAGCTGCAGAAGCAAAGGGTTTAGGCTGGTGAGATGGCGACTGAGGACCCTTTAGTCCTTGGAAACTCTTTCCTCTGTTGAACGCAAGTGCAGAGTTTGGTTACGGCAATCCAAGAGGTCTCGCTCCTCACCAGGGACAGAGCTGCATGAGAGGAGAGAGCTAGGAGGGGAGGGAAAAGAATGAGACCGACCCTGGGAGCATGGTTGGAATAGGCCCCCGGGAGGGCGTTAAAATAAGAGTGTCCGTTTTGAGATGGCTCCTACCAGGGACGGGCAGGCAGGGGCAGTGTGTGAGGTCAGGGTGCTGCCTGCGTTCTGCAGCTGTTGGGGTTTGGTGAGCAAGGTGGAGGGTTTGGAATAGGGACAGGACGGGAGCTGGGAGCTGGTTGCCTATCTTAGCATCCATCCACCAAGATGGCCAGAAGTTGAGACCAAATTGACATGTTCTACTTGCCACTTTCGGCTGTGGGGAGAAGAGGAAGGACGCACCGGGGAGGTCTGCATTTGTGATCCTGTGGTGTTCTCCATGTCTCAGCGTGGGGGAGGGGTGTCAAAAGTATCAGTTCTCTGCTCCCACGGGTGGTTTTCCGCCTTGGTGGCTCTTGTGTCAGAAATCCATGCCCCAGACATCTCTGCCCCCAGGCCCCGCCTGCGGAGAGGATGTGGAGCCATGTCCAGGGCTGCCGTGCTGAGGCTGGCTGCTGGCATGGTTCAGTTCTGGGGTGTGCTCATGGCCAGGAGAACATTCCTTCTAATTTTTTTCCATCCTTGTGCAGAATAAATTTTGTTACGTGCACTGAGCCACGTGTAGATGTGCACCTCCAATAGAACCACATGCTGCTGGTTGTGGGCAGTTGGGTGGCCGTGTAGAGGGGACACTGCTTCCAGCCCCTGTGCAGTAGGATCTGTGCACAGCAGGTGAATGTTGCTGAATTTGACTCTAGCTGTGAGGTCAGAATGACCCCCGGGGAATGCAGCTCCAAGGGGCTGTGAGGTGTTCCCATCACACAGCTCTGCTGGACTTCCCTGCTAAACCGCTGGGGCTTCCCCCACCTTAGGCAGGGGCTGTCTTTTTGTTCTGTGTTTGTACAGCACCTAGCGCAGCGGGGTCTTGGGCCCGCACTGGGACAACGCAAACAAGACCAGTGTTTGCTCCAGCCCAGTGTGTCTGTGGGGAGTGGCGGCTGCTCCTATTTTAATCATCCCTGTGGGGCTGTGGTTTGACAGCGCGAGGTGCAAACCCGCCAACAGGAACTGGAAGGGGAGACTGTTGTGTCACTTCCTGTGAGGGATGAACTGCAGTAACCTCTAGCTCGGACTCCCAGATGCCCCAACCTGCCTTCCCTGCCCGTAGCAGAGAGATGGGCGCAAGCCAGGGCATCTGCTGCTTGGAGGAGTTTGCCTCTGAGGGCCTTGGCTCCGGCCACTTTCTACTAGGGATGTTACGATGTGTTTACTTTTTTGTAAGTAAGTCACATGTGTTATCTCAGAAATCACAGCAGTGGTACAAAACCAATTCCCTCCTCATGCTATATGCCACCCGTTTTTGTGAGGCATCCTACTATTCTTGCTGTGGTTCTGTTTCTTGACACTTGTAAACTCTGATTTGGTTTGGTAGCAATGTATTTTCTCGACGACTATGATGAGTTAAAATCAAGTATTTTATAACAACTGATGGTCAGTAAGAATGTGATAATGTACAGATTTAAACAGTTAACCAATAAGCCTGGGCAGCAGTGCAGGGGGGGAACAGAAGGGAGCCAGTGCTTGTGGGGATCCAGCTTTTAAATAGGCTCCTGGTGAGCACTGGTTCCCACTGCTCCCATCTCTCCTGCCCCCTCACTCTGCTGCCTCTAATACAGAGGCAGCAGTGTGGACTGGAGTGAGGGGGAGGCTGCATGTTACTGAAGGCTACCCGAACAGCCCAGGCTCATCAGTTAACCATGTACCTGAGTATACGTTCACATCCCTGCTTCCTACTAGGGTGACTTTCATCCTCAGCCCCAAAGCGCTTTGCAGGGATTACTTACTCACCTTTGAAATGTGGCCACCTCTGGAGTGGGATGCAGCAGCTGCTAAGCTGCACCCAGTAACACCTGTCGAGGAGAATCCCGGGAAACCGCTGGGCGGGACTTAGGGAGGCAGAATGGACTTGCCCAGATGGGAATCACGGAACGGCTGGAATCTCAGGGGCAAGATTCAGGGGCTTCCAGTCCCTTCACCGAGACGGGTTCGGTAGGAAGCTGCTGCAGACGTGTCAGGCTGGCGGGCGGGTGGAAGGGTGCTTGAAAGGCCCTGACTGATGTGCCAGATCAGAGCACGAGCAGGCAGAGTGGGGGGTTAGTTTCCTGCTCCCCCCACTGTCCCCCTCCTCCAGCCCTTTGAGGACCGCTCCTACCAAACCACGCGTCGGTGGGATCCCCGTTTCATGTGTGTAACTCAGGCCCCCAGAGAGCCGGGGGAGGCTGATGGCAGCCGGTAGGTGGTGTTCTCCTTTAATTAGCTCCCCTCATTAATGGGCTGCCAATCAAATGGTCCCAGGAGGCCAAAAAGAAGCTGATCCTGGAGGGGTGAAGAGAGAGGCTGTCAGAGCCCAGGGTTTGGCAGTGGTAGGAGAGGGGTGAATGTCGCCCCAGTTGCAAACAGAGCCAGGCTGGGTGCAATGGGTTAGTTCAGCTGCGCGGGTGCCAGAGGTGATAGGGGGTGACATTACTAGAGGGTCCCAAGTTTTATAGGACTGCAGCTGGGGAAAGACCAGGGCATGGTAGGGCAGAGGACTGGGGAGGTAGTCTTGCCTAGTGGATAGGGCATTGGACTGCGTCCCCGGAAAACAGGTTTTTTAGTCCAACTCTGCCATGGGCCTGCTGGGCAAGTCACATCCCCCTTTCCATGCCTCAGTTTCCCTGTCTGTAAAACGTGGCTAATGCCACTGACCTCCTTTGTAAAGCACTTTGACTATGTCTAGACTGCATCCCTTTTTCGGAAAAGGGATGCAAATTAGACGTATCGCAGTTGCTAATGAAGCGGGGATTTAAAGCTTCATTAGCATAAAAATGGCTGCCGCTTTTTTGCGGCACGGAGCTTTGCCGGAAAAAAGCGCCAGTCTAGACGCGGATCTTTCGGAAAATAAAGCCTTTTCTGAAAGATCCCTTATCCCTTATTTTAAGAGGCAGCCATTTTTATGCTAATGAAGCGGGGGGAGATACGTCTAATTTGCATCCCTTTTCCGAAAAAGGGATGCAATCTAGATGTAGCCTACGTGTTCTACTGGTGAGAAGAGCTCGCTGCTGATGTGAGTCTGTCGGGGCTCAAAGCCCTCTTCTCGGAAGTCTCCTCTTCCCCCCCTTTTTCAACCCTGGCTGTGGCAAGAGATTTTGGGGGGTGAGGCTAGGGATACCTGGTGCTTGTGTGCCCCGTGGGGAGCAGAACTGCTCAACCATAACCAATTAGCGGGGCTCCCTCTCCCCAAAGGCTGGATTTGGTCTGAGTGCAACCTCTCCACCTGACAGGAGGCTTGAACTGCTAGCCAAGTGGGATATCCAGGTGAGGCAAAGGGAGTGCCCCCTGGCCAGACCGCAAGGAGCCTAGCTGGTCTCAGCTGGCTGTGGTTCTGTGCAGCTCTTCCTCCCTGGGCAGAAGCTCAGGGTGCCTGGGTCCTCCAGCTGTCAATCATCCACATTCCAGCCTAGGCAGGCAAACTGGGGAGCCCTTCACCCCACGACAGACCCTCCCACCCTGGCCGCTAGGAAGTTCAGGAATTTGGCCTCCCAGGTGCAGTTTGCCCAGGATTGTGGACACGGCTTCTGCACGCATCTGTTTACTTGATAGTCGGGGAAACTGAGGCATGGAGACTTGCCCAAAGTCACCCAGCAGGCCAGTGGCAGAGCCAGGCATGGAACCCAGGCGTCCTGACACCTCACTGCTGTTGGGTGGCCCGCTCAGGGGTCCCGGTGAAGCTTCCTCTTAACAGTGTTTTTCCTCACCTCTCCCCCACCTCACAGCAATCCCTGCCCCCTCCCCATGAGCCTTCAGATCTCCTCTCCCTAGCACAGGTGTCGGGGAGGGGGGAGACTGAGAGGGGTCTAGCCTGGCGGGGGGGCAGTTGATGGGGCAGAGAGGACTCTAGTGTGCTGAAGGGGGGGCTAGTTTGGGTCTGACCCCATTAGCCCCACAGGGCCCACTCAGATACCAGAGAGCTGGGAGGGGAGCAAACCCACGCTCCCGGCTGGAAAGACAGACCCCAGCACCATGCCCGTCTTCATCTGCCAGAGCTGACGGGCGAACTGCAAAGCCTCTGCAGACCCAGCCGGCTGCCTTCCCCGGCGGCAGGCAGCCACAGGCAGAGGGCTCAGCTGCGGCCCGAGGTTACTGGCTGTCAATGAACTGGAGTAACCGCGCGGCGAGCTGCAGCCCTGTGGATGCTGGAGCGTGGCGGGGCTTGTGTGCGGTGCTGAGCCGCCGGTCATGCAGGGCTGGGGGAGGGGGGCGCAGCCCTGCGGCTGAGTTTGCCGTGCTGCTGTGCCCGGCTTGGGGTGGCTTGTCACATGCTGCCACATCCCCATTTTCAGCATCTCGCCTGAGCCTGGCCAGGACTCGGGGAAACCTGCAGCCAAGGGACCTGTGGGGAGGATGTTTTATGCGCTGCCTTATTGTAGCGCTGAGGGGCCCTCCTCAGGGCTCAGGAGACATCAGCGGGGGCATAAAGGGGCCCCCAGTTTGCTCGTCCGCCTCCTCCCCACCTCCTTCCCTGCTCCTGGGGCAGACTGTGCTGTTAATTTCCTGTGGTGCCCCAGTAAAGGTTCAGAGGTGAATCCCCACCCCACACGGGGGAAGGGAGCCTGCTGACAATGACCCAGAAAAGGAGAGCGGTCCCTGGGCTCGAGACAAGGTACACATGTTCCTGGCTGATGGGGGGGTGATGGAAATGTTATTCCCCTGGCACGAGATCCAGGGCCATTTGGGGGCTTTGCAGCAGCGAAGATCGAAGGCAGACCCTTCCACCATGAAGCAAGTGGAGAATCCCCATTAGCTGCTAGCAGTGTTGGGTCCAGGACACACCATGAGCCCCTCTGTTTCCCCTCCAGCAGAGGGAAGTGGTACCCCCCTAAACACTAGAGATTGACACCAAGCCGCCTCGCGAGACAGAGCTGCACATTGCTCCCATGATGCTGTGGGCTGGAGCCTGGCTTTCCCTTTGCTCAGCTGTGGCGCCTGGTGGGAGGAGCAGTTAGGAGGAGACGGCATTTCCAGGAGTGTGGCCCATAGGGCTGTGGGTGTGGCCGATAGGGGGTTCACCCCATCAGAACCACAACGGTTTGCTGAATCCAGAACTGAGGGGTGCAGTCAATGCTGGGTTGGCGCTGCCAATGTGCAGAACTGGGAGCCAACCCCACAGTGCCTGTATCCCTCCGGCTGCAATTGCCGGGAAGTTGCTTCCTTAATTTTTACCCTGGTGTCAGTATGAGAGAGTTTGGAGGAGCGGGCCCCTGTACCTCGGATGGAGGAAGACCTGCAAGGCCTTCAAACCCTTATCCCTGTGCATTTACGTGTGTTGGGGGAGGGGCCTTAATTCAGGAGCAGGGTCCCACGGTGCTAGGTGCTGTCCAGTCATGATGAAAAGACCGGTCCAGCCCCCAAAGCTGGCAAATTAAGTATCTGGGGATGCAGTAGCCAGTGGGCAGCAGATAGGGTCTAGGTCATTAGATGAGGAGATAAACCTGCCATCCTCTTAATCCGGTGTAATCCGTCTCTCTGCTCCCTGTGCTCGTGCTCTCATTCGGTCTCTCCTCGCTCTTTCTGATCCGCCCCCAGGCGTGGTAGGGCGGAAGGTCCTAACCTCCGGCTGCACCCATGACGCGTTGCCCTGGCGTGTGGGCGGCTGCTTGCCCTTGTTTCAGCCTGTCGCTCTGGGTTCCAAATCAGGCTCCGATGTCTGCCTCCCCTCCCCGCCTCCCCCTGCGTTTCTTGGACGCCTCCGCCGGAGAAGTCCCCAAATTGGCTCCGGCAGGTGCTGGCTCCTCAGAGACGCAAGGCGGTGCCTGTCACACGCCCCCGCGACATCTTGTTCCCAGCGCAGCAAAATGCTAATCAGCCCCTTCAAGGCTCCGGTAACGCTGGGGCTGATTAACGGCTGCTCCAGGGTGTCACAGTGGGAATGCAAAGTAGGTCGGCTGGGCCATCGATCCAGGGCCTGGTGTTGCTGAGGGCTGCTTCCCAGGAGGCCTCTCCCTGGGCAGTGCCTACCCACCCGGGGCGCTGCTGGGGGGGAACTGGGGTGACTCAAACACCAGTAAAGACGGATTCCTCTGAGCGCCTCTGCCCCACAGGGCACTGCAGTAGGGACAACCGGCCAGCCCTCTGGCCCAGGCCAGGCAGCGAGGGGCCCCATTATGCTCCCCACTCTAGTTTCTCATCGGGTGCTTGTTTGTCTTTGTCTTGAACCCCAGTCCTGCAAGGTGCTGGGCGCCTGCTGGGAGGGGGAGGGGGCCCAGCAACATGCAGCATGGGGCCTGTAGACTCGGGCGTGCTGGTTGTGCAGGCTCTGCTCTTGGTTTCCCCGTGCAGCGGCTGCCCCTGCATCCCTGGGGCTAGTGCAGCTGCGGGGGGTTTGCCAGGAGCGCCCTGCAGGACTGGGGCTAGTGCAGCTGCGGGGGGTTTGCCAGGAGCGGGGTCCAGGCAGAGGGTGTCAACGCTCCGGGTGCCAGAGAATAAGTAACAGTGCGTGTCCCTGGGGCTGATCCTGAGAGGGTGGGGGGAGAAAAGTGGGCTCCCCTGGGATTCCACATATGATCCTCCCTCTGTCCCAGTGCAATCCCATTCGGGCCTGTGCCCCGTTTCAGTAGGACGGAAACGTGCCCCCTGCCTGTGCGCTCTGCCCCGCCCCAAGACTAGTCCCGGCACGTGTCCTTTGTGTTCTCATTGGACGGTCGCTGAAGCCCCGGGCATGCAGCTTATCGGTTGCAAGTCAGACAGGCTCCCCAGGGGGTGGAGGGAGCCGGCTGCTGACCTGGCTTCCTGGAATTTACAGCTGAAATCAATGTGGCTCTGCTGCGGGGGCCGAGCTGGGCTGCGCCTGGGGCAGAGTAGCCAGGGCCTTTGGTGAGCTAAGGCCCTGCAGAAACAGGCGCCCTCACCCGAGCGTGACCCCCTGTGCGGGGAGGAGATGGAAGGAGGCAGGCATAGCCGCTGTGCATTTGGATCTGAGCTGCCCCATGGTTCTGGGGCTTGAGGCTGGCAAGGCTGCGATTCCTGTCCCAGTGGGTGCAGTGCAAAAGGCAGGTGCCGAGGCTCCGAACAGCAGCTGCCCAAACTATTCTAGTGCATACCTGGCTGGATAACCGCACTCAGAGAGTAGTTATTAATGGTTCACAATCCTGCTGGAAAGGTATAACGAGTGGGGTTCCGCAGGGGTCTGTTTTGGGACCGGCTCTGTTCAATATCTTCATCAACGATTTAGATATTGGCATAGAAAGTACGCTTAATAAGTTTGCAGATGATACCAAGCTGGGAGGGGTTGCGACTGCTCTGGAGGATAGGGTCAGAATTCAAAATGATCTGGACAAATTGGAGAAATGGTCTGAGGTAAACAGGATGAAGTTTAATAAAGACAAATGCAAAGTGCTCCACTTAGGAAGGAACAATCAGTTTCACACATACAGAATGAGAAGCGACTGTCTAGGAAGGAATACGGCAGAAAGGGATCTAGGGGTTATAGTGGACCACAAGCTGAATATGAGTCAGCAGTGTGATGCTGTTGCAAAAAAAGCAAACGTGATTCTGGGCTGCATTAACAGGTGTGTTGTGAGCAAGACAGGAGAAGTCATTCTTCCACTCTACTCGGCGCTGGTTAGGCCTCAGTTGGAGTATCATGTCCAGTTCTGGGCACCGCATTTCAAGAAAGATGTGGAGAAATTGGAGAGGGTCCAGAGAAGAGCAACGAGAATGATGAAAGGTCTAGAGAACATGACCTAGGAGGGAAGGCTGAAGGAATTGGGTTTGTTTAGTTTGGAAAAGAGAAGACGGAGGGGGGACATGAGAGCCGTTTTCAGGTGTCTAAAAGGTGTCGTAAGGAGGAGGGAGAAAACTTGTTCATCTTGGCCTCTGAGGATCGGACAAGCAGCAATGGGCTTAAACTGCAGCAAGGGAGGTTTAGGTTGGACATTAGGAAAAAGTTCCTGCTTCTGATACAGAGGCAGCAGCACTGGGTGCGGGGGAGGCAGGTGGGAGCCAGTACGTGTGGGGAGCCAGTTTTTGAGCCGGCTTCCCATGCGTGCCGGCTCCCATGGAGCTGCCCGT